ACACACACACACACACACACACGGCTAAGTTGATGCATGCATGATGCATATAGAGCTCTCGCTGGCGCCAGTCACATGCATGTTTCAATCTGGCATTGTCGATTGTGAATTTGGTTGACATTTCTATTCTAGAGAAAGGGTGAATAGCAATATTAAAATATTCTAATTTCCTTTCAATGTGCATGAATCTGCACTGGGACACCAGTCAATCTATACTTCTCAATCCCTTCACCTTTTTCACCCTGTCTCCCAATACCCCTCCTCACTGGCAACCATCAGTCTGTTTTCTATATCTGTGAGTCTGTTCCTGTGTTTTTTTGTGGATGGCTAATAGTCTTAACACCTCAATTTACACACTGTAGTCTTTCCCTGGCAGTTTTAGTCCAAAGGGGCCAGGTTGAGATCAGCTTTAGATAGAGTTAACAAGCAGTGCAGATTCCTTAGGGAGATACAGAGTAAGGACTGAAAGGAGATGTGACTTTTGTCTTAGCCCCCAGTATGTATAGCATGAGGGAGATGATTGACAGTCCGTACGGAATGCCTCGGTAATGAACCTGAGTAAGGACTTAAAGGGACCACATTACTCAGAACACAAACTGCTCTACAGAGCCCAGCCACACCTGCCTACTGTCATCCCTGAGAATTCTCAGCCTGGCTTGCCTTGTTGTACGCTGAGGAGCATTGAGTATTTGTCTTTCATGTCCCTGGGGGACACAGCATCCAGGAGGTCAGGTGATCTGTGAGACCCTGTAGCACTGTTGTTAGGAGAGGACCATTGGAGGTGGCTTTTATCGGAGCCATCACAGTTGAGATTGGAAGCTGAGGCCACTCACATCTTCCTTCTTTCCCTTAGGGAGTGATTCGCCATTGTCTTCCTGTTCACGCTCCTGATTACCACCACCCACAAGAGTCCTCATGGCTTTTCCTCAGAAGAATCCACAATCCTCACCTGATAAACTCCCTCAGGCCCACGGTGAGACCCAGGGCCTGGCGGTTGCACAGGAGTCCAAGGCTCTGGAGGAGGCCTGTCTCTCCTCCCATCCTGAAATGCCTGGTAATCTAAAGGAGGCTCCTGATGATGCTATCCCCGGTACCTCTCAGAGTGCTCAGAGTTCCTCCTCCTCAATTGGCACCACAGTCTCATCATCAAGAAAATATGATGAGGGCTCCAGTAGCGAAGAGGAGGAGGATAGCACCGTAGAGGCAGATGCAGACCTCAAGAATGTGCCCGTAGATGCTGAAGATGAAAATGTGACTTCGTTGGTGAATTTGCTCCTGCTCAAGTATCAAACGAAAGAGATAATAACCAAAGAAGATATGTTGCAGGTTATCAGCCAAGAATATCAAGACCACTTCGCTGAGATATTCCTGAGAGCATCTGAACGCCTGGAGATAATCTTTGGCCTTGATGTGAAGGAAGTGGATCCCACCAACCACCACTATGCCATCTGCATCAAACTGGGCCTCACCTAGGGTGGGATGCAGCATGGTAAAGTCGGTGTGCCTAAGACTGGCATCCTGATTCTTATCCTGTCTGTGATCTTCATGAAGGGCAACCGTGCCACTGAAGAAGCCATCTGGGATGTTCTGAAGGTGACCGGAGTGTATTCTGGGAGGAAGCACCACATAACAGTGATCCTGCAAAATTTGAATTTCTGTGGGGCCCAAGAGCCCGTGCTGAAACCACCAAGATGCAAGTCCTAGAATTCATGGCCAAGGTTCATGGGATTGACCCAAGTGGTTTCCCATCTCAGTATGAAGATGCATTGCAAGATGAAAAGGACAGAGCCCAAGCCAGAAATTAAGCGAGGATTGTCTTGACTTCCGTGGCCACTGCCCGTTCTATGGCCAAGCCTCACAGCTCCTGCCACACTTAGGGAAGTCAGGGATAATTTCCTCATGCATTGTTTGAAGAGGCGGTTCATGTTCATAGAATTTAGGTCTGCAATGAAGCTTAAAGAAACACTATATATGCCTGTGTTCCTCTTTTACATGTGTAACTTGAAAATGTATTATTTTGTTGAAATCCGTATTACTCAAATATTTGTTCTGTGTTTTTTAGTATAGGTGTAATTAGCTTCAAAATCTCTATGAATGATATTGGTCATTCATGTAATGCTCGAAGGAGCTTTTGTATTAAGAGTTTGTATTTTTTGGAAAACAAAATGTGAAACCATCCATCTTACATTGTCATGTGGAAAAAGACAAAATGGCATTACTGTAGCCATGTCCCTGGAAATGTAAAGGAAATGAGCTTTAAGAAAGTTGGGATCAACAAAGAGAAGGAAACTGAAATGATACTCAAGTCAAGGCTTTGTTTTTTTTACTTCTTGTGTAAAATTAAGTGATACAGGCATGTATTTGCTAAGCTTTTTCCAGAAATAAATGTTAATAAATTAGACTTTATGGTCTCTGGCTCATTTCCCCCTGAAAACTTCATTGAACACCTGTCTTTTTTAAAGCGCTGCACCAATACTGGGAATGCTAGGTTATAAGGAATTAGAACCTGGTCATTATATTATAGCATAGAGAAGCAATAATCTTTTAAGGACATGGTGTGATCTTCTAGTCTCCAAAGCAGTAGTAAAATGAAGGCGAGAGTAGGTAGGTGGACAGTCCATATGAGATTGTCTATGTGTTAATGCTGTTAAGTATGACAGTTTCGGGGCCTTGACAAACGTCAAATCCTTAAGTGGGCATTAATTTTATATTTAACTGGCTGTGGACATCATGAGCAGGGAGCAACCCAGACAGCGTCAAAGTTGAAACCTAAAGTCTGTAGTACAAAGCTGCTGTTAACTCTTTAAAAAAGATTTTTATTGTTTAAAGTATTACATATATATCCTTTTTCCCCATTGACCTCTCCCTGGCCACTTGTGTGTGTGCGCTTTTACAATAACACTGTATATGTGTGTGTGTATAAACATAACATTTTTGTATCCTGAGTAAACCAGAGGCAAATTCTCACCTGGTACTGGAATGGAAGGTGTCCTGCATTCCTGTGCCAGTGCAGTGGGACTCAGTGCACAAATTAGTTGTTTCATTTATATACATCATCTGTGAGAAACAGAGATGATACTCCCTGGAGACTGAACACTCAGAAACCACCAGGCTGGCACTCTGCCATGGCTGAGGAGAGTCACTGCCCTCTTCATTCCGAGGAAAATTTAAGTAAGCTTTATTTAGTGTAATTTGGCAAACGATTAACAAAGGCTAAATATTTAGTAGGGGTAAGAAGAATGAAAAGGTGTGTGTGTGTGGGGGGGGTGCCTGGGGGAGTGTTGGCTGGTATGGCTCAGTTGCAGCATTGTCTCATACACTGAAAGGTCTCAGGTTTGATTCCTGAGGTTCTGGGTTTGGTCCCTGGTTGGGGCATGTGTGAGTGGCAACCAATTAATGTTTCTCACGTTAACATCTCTCCCTCTCTCTCCCCCCTCTAAAATCATTAAACATATCCTTGGGTAAGGATTAAAAAACAAGTGGGGATTGCAATGGAAGATGTAGGGGAGGAAAAATAATTTTACCTCTATCCTTCTAGTATCTTGGCTATGAATCCCCAATATATAAAATAATTAATAGAGAAACAAATTTAATTATATACATAGGTACAAGAGTCACAAAGAGAGATGACTTGAAGTGACTAGTGCAGGAAGTGTTTCTATATTTTGGGCAAATAAATTTGTTTAGAATTAACAAGGTAAAAGGGTTTGGGCCTAGGGTAGTAAATTGATGAAGAAATAAGGTTTATTTATAAAACCTAGGCCCTAAATCCCCTGTCCACTGATAGGGATGAATTCTAGCTTCCTGGCACAGGGATGTTACCTTTCACATGGGAGATTTATATCCTGCTTTCGGGGACAAAGGACAGTCAAAGTATCTCTCCTCCTCCAGCTGTTTTTCTGGTACTTTCAAAATAAACAATATGCCAAAGTGACATCTTTTGGGGTAACATATTCTAATGTCTTAAAAAGGGCACCTGGGAGGGAGGTGAGGAGTTGATCCTTGACACAGATTCTAGGAAATTTGAGTTCCATGAAGCTGGTATCAATGAAAGGGGCTATGTGCTAACCTGAAAAGCTCAGGAAAGGCCTGCATGGTGGTCTTGCAAACTCAGAGACCTAATGTAACCACAAAAGGTGGTCTGAAATTAAACTTTAAAAGCAGTTATGGAGGGTAGTTACATCCTAGGCCAGTATCTTCACTGACAAGGTTAGCCTTTACCTTAAGTGAGCCTATCTGTCTTTTTGCATCTATAACACACCCTTGAAATGTCTGGGTAAGTTGTAACTTCCCTTTGTTCCTGCACCCACCTAAGTATGTCTATCATTTTACTTTATATCCAATACCAGGTATTGTCCCCCTACCCCCGCTTTGCCTTCTCCCGCCTCTCTATCACCAATGGATTTCACATAACTCACCTATGTCCCTTCCTTTGATTGTAATCCTATATAATAAAGAGCTAATATGTAAAGGGTCGTCACACCCTCGCATTAGGGCCGGGGACCTGAGGCCAGTCCAGGGTTCTTGAGGCTTTGCCCCCCGCGCCGAGGCTGGGGGACCTGAGGCCAGGCCGGAGGACCTGAGGCTGTGCCCTCCACCCTGGTGCCAGGGCCAGGGGAACTAAGGCTGGGCCGGGGGGCCTGAGGCCTCACCCCCCAACCAGGCACCAGGCCCAAGTGAACTGAAGCTGGGCCGGGGACCTGAGGCCATGCCTCCCACCCCAGCACTGGGGCCAAGGGACCTGAATCTGTGCCAGGGTACCTAAGGCCTCACTCCCCAACCAGGTGCCAGGGCTGTGGGACCTGAGGCCGTGCCCACCCGCCCTGGTGCCGGGGCTGGGGGACCTGAGTCTGGGCCGGGGGATCTGAGGCCGCACCCTTGCCCCAGTGCTGGGGCCAGAGGACCTGAGGCTGTGCCCCACTCTCTAACCCCCCTTACCCTGGCACTTGGGAACCTGAGGCCAGGCCCGGGGACCTGAAGCCATGCCCCCCAGGGCCAGGGGACCTGAGGCCACACCCTTCACCACAGTGCCTGGTCTGGGGGACCTGAAGCCAGGCCAGGGGACCTGAGGCCTTGCCCCCTGCCCCAGTGCCAGGGCAGGGGAAACTGAGGCTGGGTCCCCCACACCAGAACTGGGGGACCTGAGGCCAGGCTGGGGACCTGAGGCTGCACTTTCTACCTTGTTGGGCTTAACAGGCGTGGGGCCGGCCGGGTCTGGGTCTCGCGTGATTTTGAGGCAAATGCAGGTGGGCGGGGACTTGATTCTGGGTCCCACGCACATCCCAGACTCTAACAGGAGGGAGATTTTCATATACATTTTACTAATTTTCTTTCATCTTTGACATTTCTGTTATAAAGGGCAAATAGCAATATTAAAATATTTCCTCTAATTCCCTTTTAATGTGCACAAATTTCGTGTACTGGGCCACTAGTCCTATCTAATAATAGACAAAGATTGAAATTGACTGTACCTTCCCTATGCCTCCCATTTGCTAATCAGCGAGATATGCAAATTAACCGCCAACAAAGATGGTGGTTAATTTACATACGTAGGCATGAAGCGGCGGAGTGAAGACTGAAGGTGGCTCCGGCTGCCAGAGCCACGAGAGGATTGAAGGCGCCTCTGGCCAGAGCAAAGCTCTGGGTCCCGGGTGCCAGAGGAAAACCGGTGCTGGCAGCCAGGGGAAGGGAAGGGCTATTGCATGAATCTTTTTGTGCAACAGGCCTCTAGTCTATATATATATAAAAACCCAGTGATGAGAACGGTGGAACGACCAGAATGACCAGGATGACTGGTGGCTATGACCCTCACAAAAATTCTTTACAGGTTTGGATGTTTTTTTACATTAACATTACTTGGTGTAGTCACAGCAAAATTCTAAAGAAGCTCACCCAGGACCATCCCTTGGACTAGGACTTGGCGCTAGGATCCAGCAAAGGGCCCATTGATCCCGCCGGTTCTCTGCCCATTGGGTGAACTTGGGTGGGTGAGTTGTCTCTTGGATCCAGGACCTTCCCTTGCTTTGGTAGAGGGTCAGACTTTATTTGAGCTGTGTTTTAAAATCCTCGAGATGGAACCAGGGTTGACAGAACCCAGGCTAACATGAGAGTGGAGAAAAAAATGGGTGGCTGGTTTTGATTTTGGCTTTTCAATTGGAATTGCTTAGAGTCTGAGCAAAAAAACCCAAACAAACCTTCACCATATAAATGAGCTGGACTCACTCATCTTCGAATATAAAGGGGCACATCCTTCCTCCAATCTGATTCTGGGGTGTTCTTAGGTGACTAAGAATCTTTGTGGAGGTGTCAGAAATGTAGGAGCCCCATAGGGAAGTCCCAAAGCAACTATAATTAACTAAATGGCTTATCTACGGGGCCACCATAAGGCTTGGTCAGCCCGGGCCCCAACTCTTCTTGTGGTTTTAGACAGCCAGGAGAGAAACTGAGGCCACACTTGATCCACTACAGAACATGTCTAGAAAGTTTGCTCAGACTACAGTTATCCAAAAAGAAAAAAATTAACATGGGAAATTATGCCTCCAAGGCCAAAAACTCCCAAACCCCAGCTCTCACTTAATACTCCTGATCAGAAGTCTTTACTTTCAAGTGCTATACAGAAATTGGAAGATTTAACTGGAAAATATCAACTTAGAAATGGCCAAAATGCAGTTGCTTTGGGGTACCTACTTTGATATTTTGCATGC